TACAGGTGAACAGCCCAAAGTACTTATTTATAGTTAGTCAGACACTTTTCCATCACTTAGTCAAAGAATTCCCCTGTCTATATAGGTATCTTTATGACAGATATTTTTATCTGCTGCAGCTTGTATGCCAATGTGTAGCTGTTACAGTCATATTTTTCATTTTTTATGTTCTCTCAGTAATAACTAAAAATGTATTTATGAAAGTGAAAATTTGTTTTCAAGCCTTCAAGTGCTGTCTCACAACCTTGTTATCTTTCACATGTGCTTAGATAAGTAATCTTTAAGCTTAAACATATTAAGTTGAAACTGCATGTATTTATTTTTAATTATGAAAGAAAAATTAACTAGTCAAAATACATACAGTTATGAGAAGTTTTAGTTTCTTATGTCTAGTTTTATGTCTGTAATCCTACCAGAAACTACTCAGTGACATTTTTAGGTAGAAAACAAAACAAAGGGCTTTAGCTGTTGCAAGGTGGATATCCAAGACCTCAAGCACTTCACCTAAACCTCGTTTTGTGGAAAGGAAGATGAAGTGAGTCAAAGGATTATTTTAATAAAAATGTAAGTGGATGGAAAGCAGTATTTGGGAATGAAATTGCTCTCTAAGTCTTCGTAGGTTTCATACGCGTATGATGGAGAGACATACCCAAGAAGTAAAAACATGGAAGTTTTTTAACGCGGTATGGCACTGTAATCAAACCGCAGTGGAGCTGTTAGTGCAACCTGGTCCAGATTTATCAGCTGTAACTGAAAGGTCGGCATTCAGGGTGCGCAGCAATATCTAGCGATGCCTGCTGGCTGGGTAGCCACGGGTACCCGGCAAGGATTAGGTTGTGCTTTCGGTTCAGGCTGGGTGGGCTGGGGGCAGAGAGCTGCAAGGCCTGACACCACCCCAGCTCAGGGGGGTTCAGCTCCATGCTGATGCAGTGGCAGGGGCAAGTTTCCAGGCCTCCCGTGTCCCTGTGGCATTTTGTTGCTGCTGGCTGTCCTTCAGGCTGTAATGCAGGGATAGCTAAATTTTGCTGCTGCACAAATAATGATGAAATATGCCGGCAACGTGAGTATTAAGATAGCTTTGTGGAAAACACTCCGGTGTGCTGCATGAGATGTTGGCCTTTCTGTTCAAAAAGGATTTGTCAAAACAAGAGGCTCTTTGTGAACATGCTGCTGTTACTCAGCATACGTGTATTTTTGTGACCCTTGTTTCATCTGCCCTCAAGCAGCTTCCTTCTGTAACGGTTTTCCTCAGTCTCGAGGGTTCTTTTTTTTTTTTTTTTGTATTGGACAAAAGTAACTGCTTACACAAGCCCTCATCTTACAAGATGAATTTCTTCTGGATGCAGAAGACGCTGTAGAGCAGAGCAGAGAGCCGACGTAGCGGCACCCGTAGGGCGTCCTCTCCTGACCCTCTCCCCTGGCCCCAAGCGTGCCTGGCAAATGGAGGCCTGGCCCTCTGCCACGGCCGATTACGCAAGGCTCTCTCTGTCCTAGTTCTCCGAACAAAGGCTGCTCTGAGGAACACAGGCATCCCACCTAGGTCACATAGGCAGGAAAAAGCCATCTCCTCACAGAATTTGACTGAGTCATGATGGAGCTTTCCTTCATGGTAAGTCTGTGAGCATCGTCAGGTTTCATACGATGGCTTGCCTTGCCTGCTAAATAAACGCAGAACCAAGAGCTATTAAACTTGCTAATGTCATCCTCGAGAGGAGGAGGGAGTGGAAGCACTATTTTGAGGGCTGAGGCTTGGATGTGAACAGAGATAGTACTGCAAATCTTCTTGCTAAGAGGAAAACCGTTCTTTCTGCATTGGTCATTTATTGATTAAAGAAACAACAAAACCCTGAGTACTTGCCTCTTAAATTGTAAAGGACTAATTTGTTAGGAGAACTGGTGTTTAATTCTTGGAGTGAAAACGTACTGGGTTACCCAAAATCGGTGTCAGATAACTGTTATTTTACTACCAGACCTAATGCTTTCATCAGTTCTGTTTGTATGCAGTCCACTGTACTTCTGATCCTTGGAAAGATTACCTTCCAAATTGTTTCCACAATCAGAGGCAAGTCAAGGACTTCAGAGGAGACAAAATAGGCTATAGATAATTGTGCAATTACAGATGGCTACAAATCAAGGTATATTATGACTTGAGCTGCAGCTCTTGAAGCGAGCCTGTTACTTTTTAACATTCAGCACGCTGCCTGCTAGGTAAATCCTCTTACTCGGGATTTGAATTTCTATAGACTGCTGTCTGCCTTGAGGTATTGTATGTCGTCTCTGAACTGCAGCGGCCTCTCCTGCATAATAACTATTTCACACAGCAGTAGCCAGCTTCAGTACTGCAATATTTGAGAGAGGTGCAGATGTTTGCTAGCCGCTTCTGTTTGTGGCAGAAATGGAAGTTGAAAATTACTCCTATTTTTTAAATTTTTTGGTTCTGGTAATTGCAATTAGTGGATCTGCTTTCGGCTGATGACTTCTATGCGTTAGAATGCATGCATGGTTTTTTTGGTCTGATTTTGAATACTTAACGGGGAGCTTATGTATTATTTATCTGGCAAGAGGGGTAGGTTTGCTTGTGTATGTATGTGCATTTCAAAGGTTGTTGGTTTGAAAGGTTCTGGGTTTTCTGCGTATGGCTTTGCGATAATTGTTTAGTGCAAATGGTTTCTTCTGCTGTAGTTATGGGCTTCGGTTTATCCATTTCTTTGCTGTTTGTAGCTTAGTGAAGAGCGCAGGCAGAAATTTACTATGCTTAGAAAATTTTCATAATGTGGATTTTGAAATTTAAAAGTCAGCTAACGTAGCAGTAAGCATTTGAATTTTTAGGAGGCATTGCTGAGAATATTCCTGCTTGTTTTTACTGTACAGCACTGGTACTACTGGCATATTTAAATATTTAAAATGGTTAGATTTTCTTATATGGTCGCCTGCTTTCTCTTAGTGAGTCTCACTGCAATAACCCTTCTGAAGAGTGACTATAGAACAGTTGTCAGTCATTTCTCTTTAGATCTGCTTATTTTTTATAATAGCATTGCTAGGTGAGAGCAAATCTGTTCCTTTCTGCTTTATCTTTTCATATTAATTGTTAGTGACAGTGCAAGATGACACATCTGTGCAAAACAGATTTTGTACCGTTTGGATTAGTATACTCAGTGTACAGGCCAAAATATATGGGTCTATTCCTTTTTTTCTTTTGTCAGGCAAAATGCAATATAAAGTAGAGCATTTTATTTTTATTTAGCCTTTTTTTTTAAGTTGCCTGCTTAGTAGAATCACTATGGTAACCGACTAAAGGATGTCTCTGAGGCACACAACCTGCATTGCAATGTAAGTGAGGGGAGATTTTAAGTTCTCTGACTGCTGAACACTAGAAAAAGGAACAGGCAAGGCAGAGAAATGAGCTAATATTTAATATTTATAAGTTATTATTTAATGCTTGCTCTAAGGTTAAAAAGTTATTTTACAAGTAATGTATGTGTGAGTTCATTGTTTTCTGTGCTCTCTTCTGGGAATGATACTGCTAAAAGGTTCATTAAAAATCATAAATTTTTGTTATCATTCAACTTGAGTTTGTCTCATTTTTTAAAAGCTGTTATATATTACAAATGATGTTGATAGAAATCAGTGAGGTGGTAACCTGTGTCACTGTGTGCCTCTTGGAGCTCATGAGAGCGTCAGCAATCTTTTTATGCTTTGAGTGATGCATTAGTTTTCTAATAATTTTTCTGTTTAAAATGTTTATTTAGAAATTTGGTGGTCTGTTAAACTCTTCTTATAAATCTTTGTGTTCTATGTTATACAGATATGCTATACATGAGGTATTATTAGGTCCACAAGGGAAGTTACGTAGTATCTAGTAGCTCTGAGCATGACAATAGTGAAAGTGAGTTGCATATTTTTTCTTTTTTCTTCCCAGCTACACTAACAAGCTCCTGATGTCATGTAGTTTGGCATCCTGAACAGGCGGAGCTAAATGTATCATTTTTGTGCTAAGAAGATAAAACACACTGAAGCATCAGCATGTTTTGTGGATTGGAAGCCGTGTGAAACTGTATTTTGTAGATAACTGTATTTATTAACAGTAGCATTTTATATGCTATCTCTTAGGTTCCTATATTACTAGGTGTGATTCTCTATTGAATTAGTATGTTAATCCAAATTCTACACTGTGTAGGAAGTTTATGGAAAAGTTCAGAGGCATTTGAATTTGTATGTCTGTTCCATTCATTTTAACACACTTGGTTGCGTTTCTAACTGTAAATAGTGATCACTGAATTAGCGTGACACTTGTGAAATGATTGCTTATATCCAGACTTTCTGGCAGACAGACTTCATTGCTCTGCTCGTGTGACCTTCTTTCTAGAAGAGCAAAATGCTTGGCTCCGAACTTCCAAATGCAAAAATGTTTTAAAAGATATTTTTCATATCTCTTGAGGGAAACTGATAAAAATAAGCAAGCTTTAATGTCTAAGTGAAGTTATCATAATACCTGGAGGAAAGGATATAAGAACTCTTTATGAACTCATATTTTAATGTAAAGGTATTAATTTAGAATGCTTTTTCGACAAGAGATTAGTTTTTTAAAAATATATCAAATAATTTGAAGGAAGAGTATTCTGGTTTTCCTATATAGACAAATTGACAGCTTCAGTGGTTTATCTCCATGAGGCTATGAGCTAGTATGACTACATTCCCAGTTGTGTATTCTGAGGAAAACTTGATCTTCCAATTTTGACCATTCATTTGATGCAATCATTCTTCCAGATGCTGTCTCAATTGCTTTGTGAAGATATTTGTTGCCATCTTACATTACTAGAAGCAGTGCTACATTTGCAATAAAAAAAAAATTACTTTCCTCTGGTAAACAGTTAAACAGAAATTGAAAATTGTTTTCTTTACAACACAGTATTCATTTTCAAGTACAAAACTGATTTATTCTTAGTAATTTGCCAAAGTGCTAGTATTACTTTGAAAAACAAATAATTCTTTTTTTTCAGCATTTTCAGTTAGCTTTGATTGACTGCAATCCCTGCACTTTGTCTAACGCTGAAAGTAAGTAACCTATAAGTATTTCCATTTATTTTGTTGGGGGCTTTTTTAAGTTTTATGCTCACAAGTGTATCAATTTTTAATGAACCAATCCTTCAAAATCAAAAAAATCAGTACTGAGAGAGGCAGACTACAAAATCTGACTCCATCTGTCAACGGAGACAGATATTCCAGTGGAATTGTGGATTGTTTTAGTAAGTGGAATAAGTAAAAATTGAGACTTAGCTTATTAATTGCTCTGAAGGCTTGAGTTATAGAGGAAGCATACTATTTGACTGTTTGTTTATTTATTTATTTATAAATGTGCTTGTGCCATGGCACACATTTAACAGTATTTAAAACTTTGTGGCATCTTGATAATGTCATTTTTCAGTGATCATTTTAATGCCATTTAAATTTATAGATCTAAAATTCAGCATCAGTCTTATGCTGTTGAAGTAAGAAAAAGTACAAAAATTAATTTTTGTTAGCTGCCAACTATGTATTTGTCTGTATTTGAACACAGCCTCTTAGTGTAGTATGATTTATCATATGCGGTATATACTGTAGGCTGTTTCAGAGCATCCTGCACGTATTTATCCATAGTTAGTGGAATTGTATGCAAGAATAAGTGTATGTTCCTGTATGCTTTGGAGGCTGTGAGAATTAAAAAGCAGACAGGTGCAAAGGAAATTACTCCCTCAGTTTTTAACATACCTTCATGCTGTTCTGAGTGTTGAGCTTAAGTTACTTCCTAAGTCTAACTTCAGCAGCATTGGAAAAAGTATTTAAAAGCGTTTTTTTCTTTTTTATCTCTTGAAATCAGCTGGATAGAACTATGAATGTTCTGTCAGCTAGGGTAATGAAAGCGTGTTTGTTTACATGGGTGAAACTGCCGGCTGTATTGGTATCAAGGAGCCAGATGTGCTACAAAGTCTTCTCTGAAGCTATGTCATTTATCAGGAACAGGCACAGATAATTTTGTAAAATGATTTGCAGAATTCTTCCTAAGTCAATAGGCTTTTATTGTTTTCTACCAGATAAATGGTTCTTTATTATATTTCATGTTAGTTTGGATTATTTCTCACAAACTTTATCGATTTCCACTGTATCTCTGAATTTTTGTAAGGTTTTCCTAACCCTTCCCCCCAAGACCCCTCTGCCCCCAAACTTATGTAGAGGTATGGCCCCATGTAAGGGCTTCGTCGCCCCGTGGCCTTGGGCACGGTGCTTGACAAACCCAAAGGAAGAGAGTGAAGAGGAATGAGAGAGATTTTGTCAGGCTCTCCTGTACTACTTAGTGGAAGGAGAACTGTGCGCTCTGACCCAGGGCATCAGGTACCGTCACATAAACGCTTGCGATTGCCTTAATCCTACCCCTTGCATTTCTAAAGGCTGGGTGAGTAACAGCATTACAGCGAGCATCTTCATAGCAGAAATGTTTGAGTGCTAAGCATGCCGTCTTTCTGTTTAGGCAGCCTCTAATGTGATACCTTTAATTTCTTTCCCCTGCAAGGCATGGCTTCGTTTTCTAGCTTCACACCAAAGGGGTTTTGCTATGAGGGGAAAAAAATAAAGGAGGTGTTTTTTAAGTAATGAGTTCCCAAAACAAAAGCAGAGTTTTTTCTTTCATCAGTCCAGTGTGAAGTTTGACAATGTGGTGAACATAATGGGTGTGTTACGTGCCCTTCAGCAAGAAACACAAAAATGTTATTAGAATTTTAGATGATGAATTTCATTATGACCTGGTTTCTGAAGTGCCCTAGGTTACCGTCTTTATGGTGAACGACAAAGCTATGCACAAAGGGAGCTTCTCCCTTCCCTTATGACCCAAAGACAAGCCCTGGAACTCCAAATTACCTGTATAAACCTCTGTGTCACACTATTTTGTAGCTTCAGGAGAAAGAAGTCTCTGTAATTGAAATAAATTGAGCTTGGCTCAAACACAGGTATTTTCTTACTTGTAGTCCTCAAGAACATCATGCAAAAGTCTGTCTCAAAGGAATTTTTCATTCCTTACCAAATCAAAATAAGGATGGCGTTATTCTCAACTACCTGTAGCTATCTACCAGTTGATGGCTAGTCTAGGTTGGCAGTTCCCAAGCCTTAGAGATCAGCTTTTCTTTAATGATTTGAGCAGCGTAAGGATAATATTCCCTCTGCTTTTACTATTGAACAACTTTCTTTTTCTTTCTCCAGCCAGCAATTTTCTTGCCTCCAAGAGTTGCTAGTAGTATTATGGCATTCTGTGCAGTTCGTATGATGAATTTAAGATGCTTTGCAGTAATGATCAGAACACCATCTGCAATGAATGCTTTTAGTTCAGTTTAACAGGGGAAGGACAATTCCTGAAAAGGGAAAAAAAAAAACAAAAGCACCTAAATTTAAGATCCTGCGTAAAACTGGCAATGTATAATGTAGTTTTCTGTTCTGTAACCCAGGTAGTCTGTGCCTTGGCAGCTGAATGAAAATAAAAAATAAGTCTCTGTTTCTAACTCAGTTACGTACAGAAAATATTACCTGCATTCTTTTGTTGTGCATCTCTGCTTAAAGAGATTTTATTGCTAAGTTTACTGAAAGGTTAATGGACTGCATTTCAGAATACAAATAAAATCCATGAGCTGCCTTTCTGCAGTATCTGTTTGCAGTCTTAGTGCTTTGTTAGGATACACTTTCATTCTCTGTCAGTTCTGTTATAGTAAGAGTAACATATCAATGTAAACAAACTTTTTTGTATCTTCAAAATGTAATTTATCTTGGTTTTGCATTGATAAATTTGAAACATTGTTTATCCCTTACTAGAAAAAACATACTGTAATTGTTGTCGTTCGTCAAAACTAATAATTTTGATTTTCCCACTCTTACAGTTCAGTTTCACATCGCCCACTTATATGAAATCCAGGTAAGCTTTAAGCTCCTTTATAAAAAGTGGGGTTGAGTTTCTAATTATATGATGTAATTAATCTGTGGAATTCATATTATAGATGCTTTTATAAAGTTAGGCTTAAGTCTCAAATCGCTAAAGAAACTTTATTTGCTTTGGCTAAATTAAAAATATTTTTTATGTGGACTGTCATGCTATAAAATGGAATAGCTACTTTAATAAACTTATATATTTACCAGTCTCCCAAGCTGAGTACCAAAAAAACCCCTAAATAGAATTTTTAGTAAAATTATTTTATGATATTACACATTTATTTAAAAAGTTAATGTATGTAGATATAAAAAATGTGTAGTTTCTCAATTCATATACATTCATATTGTTTCTCATACACACACACTTGCACATAGTCAAGTCTAGCCAGGTGCCCAGGTGCCTTTTTTTGACACAAAATTTTCAAATTTAACTGAAAATATGTGACAGAAACATTTGAGATCTGGGGTCAAAAGCACATAAAGCCATGTTGTTAATTTTATATCAAATCCTTAGTTTTTTAGGTGAATCTTTTGAGAAATTACAGAACACTTCTGGGCTTCCAGATGATAAGTAAATTAAAACCAAGTAGCTACTGAAATAGCTATTGTATGTTTGTAATTTGACTGGTTGGTCATATAATGTAGACTGTATGCCCTTTTATCATGTTTATGAGTATTATATGACTGAGGAAGGGATGTGACATGAAAACAAGAACTTGAATTAAAATGGATGACAGACATAAATAAACTACATTTTAAGTCAGTTGAAAAGAAGCTTGATAAAGTAAATGCTGTCTTTTGATGGCACAGTGAAAGATTACTTTAGGTATTTATATGCAAATAAAAGGTACAAATTTGATAAACAAGATATTTTTCTTTTGAATGCTTTTGATGCAAAGCTGTACGACAAGACAGAAATCCCCCATCCCAAAACACCATTAAGAAACTTCATGGACTGTTGTGGTTCTTACCTGGCCACCGTCCAGATTTCATTCTGAGCACTGGAGCACATCTGATGCATCTTTGTTTATATAACAAAGCATCCCCAACACATTAGTTCTTTTGATCTTCTAAAGTAAAACAGAAAGTTGGACATCTTGGGTCACCATGCCAGGTGCCTCATATAATTGTGTGACCAGTGTTACAAGCGCTTAAGTGATGCTTTCTGACTGACAGTTGTAGGCAGCGGGAGCTTCATTTCAACGCAAGTCAGAGCAAAAAAGCTTCAGTGCATTCTGCTATTAGACCTGGTTTGTGTCTCAGTTCTGATTGGGAGAGGTACATTCTTTTCTGGAATTTGAAACCCTTGGGACCACGAAGGGTGTTGACTTCAGTCTGGATATTAGCCTCTGACACAATGAAGAGATGTTTTTGGAGGCAGGCTGGTTGCTTTGTTGCTTTAAAGGACACAGTGCTACAGCTTTCTGAACCCCACCATATGGTTGAAAATTTAACTAATATTTAACGGAAAAGTTAATTCATTCCTTAATTATGTACCTTCACAGTACTGGCGTTTAAATGATGGGTTGCCAGCCTCTGAACAAGAGAATAGCCTGATGCTGACAAGAGTTAGCAGTGGTTTTTCATGGTGTTTAATACTAGTTTCTATTATTTCATCTGTGGCAGTGTGAGCCCCTCTAGCTGTTTAGGGTGGTGGCTTATACGGTGTCCAAAGATGTTGGATTGCGTTCCCCTCCCTCTTCCCATTTCTAAGACCATTCATGATGCAGCCAATATCAAGGACTCTGAATTTTTGGAATTAACGTATCTAAATAAAGCCAAATGCAAATATTATGACATGTTTCTGTAACATTTTAAGGCATATATGTAGACAGATTTCTAAAAGGTAAATAATGGAACAAATAACAGAAGTTAAAAAGTATTCTAGATCTGGAAAACATGATTTTAGTAGGTCTTTCTGAATCCTCCCAAGCATGTAAACATCTCTTTCAAAGTAGGAATATTAGGCACTAATATTTACCTATTTGACATCTGGATTGCTGCCTCTGCTGTCATGCTATAAAGTGAACTTCTGTTCATTTGCTTATCCTTCATAGTCATAAACTATGAATTTTGTTCCCAATGCTAAATTTAATTTTTTTTCCTAATTGTTTTTGTGTTGCTAGCCATGGATATTTTATTTATTTATATTATTTGTTTTCTTACCAGTTGTCTGCATTTCATGAACACCAATTAAAAATCTTTTCTACCAACTTCCCCTTGTTCCATTTGAAAGTATGTAATTGCTGCTTTAATTTTTTTTCCTGACTAGAATAAGATTTTAAAACCAACAGAGATGTCTTTTGTGATTGTGAGATCTCAAGAACCTAATAACATTTATAACTTCTAATAGGTATTTGTATTGTTTAGAGCCGTCTTCTCAGTTGTCCCTTCTAAAACACCAGTAGTCAGTAATGTGTGCTCTTTGCATAAATCAAATGTAACATAAGTTATGATCATTGGCATTTAGGTGTCCCCATATATTTTAGTACATTCTTCATCTGTTTGCCAGAATGAAGTCTAACGTTGGATTATCTGAAAGCATATTTTTCTTAAAAAAAAAAATTGTATAGAATTTTTAGAAAGTTAAAAAAAAAAGTACTCCTACTAACAGACCTCAGCTTTTATGTCTTCTAGACTTTTGTGGGAGAGGAGGAACAAAAGAATTAAGTATGTAAAATACGTTCACTGTTAAATTATTATTGTTAGGGTAACTCAAAGATAAATGCTGACATTGTTAGGAAAAAAACCTCATCTATCAAGAAGTCTTAATCTTAATTATATACCAAACAGCTCATATTGCTTCAGAAGTCAATAAAGACCACAATCCTAACCTGTAAATCTGTTTTCTATATGAAGACCTGTCCATGCTTTAAGCACACTTAAACTATATAGCAAATAATACGATGGCACACCTTCATTCTCTAGGCATAATCCATGGATATGTTTTAATTCTACATATGGTGGGACTCTTACCAGGACAACAAATGTGTTGAAAAGGCAGTTCAAATATACCGGAGGAAGGAGAGAGGCAAAATTATACCAGCCACCAATTACCGATGATCTTCATTTCTGTTATGAATTTCCTGGGAGGAATTTGTGTAGGGTTTTTTCAGATGTAGACTCACATTCAAGCATTCCCCTTGAAAAGCAGTATATTCTTTATAGTATAAGAAGCATCACGAGAAGTTGACCAGATTTAATAATTTGCAAATTTCCCTCAATTATTTTAAGTAGCCATTTTATATTAAATACTATATTTATGAAAGTTATTCTCTTACCATATATAAAGCTTTCATATGCACTGTATGCAAAACAAAAAAAAAGTTCTAGAATTTTTTGTCAATGTGTGTGTGCTGTCAGTGCTGTGAAATCGTTGCTATTAGTGATCTGTTGTAAGCTTTATGATTAATCCATTTACTTTTTTCCTTTTGCAGAGAAAGTATCACTCTGCAAAGGAAGCTTATGAACAACTTTTGCAGATCGAAAACCTTCCTGCACAAGTAAAAGCAACTGTCTTACAGCAGTTAGGTATGTAAAATTAACTTTTATTTTTCTGTGTGTTTCTTTTTTCCTTCTTCACCTTCTGCAGTGTTTTTTAAGGCCCCATTTCTGAAGTTAGTCTTAGACACTGAGTACGATATGTGAAGTTTTCACCCAAAATAGAATCCATAACAGTAGATAATTAAGTAAATAAGAGAGGAGGAGAAGATTTTAATTAAACTTACAAAATTAAAAGGCTCTTAGGCTTGCTACAGTGTGTGTGTTACAGGTTTTGGGCAAGAAAGGATGGTCTTCCAGAGGAATGCAGCAGTTAGAATTATGTATTCTCTGTTCTGCCTCTGAGAACATCCCTTGAGTAGCCGGGCTAAATGCACTAAACCAAACTACTCTTTTCTATTGCAGAATAGAAGAACATGGCAAAGAAAAGTTCACCTTTTCTTTCTCTTTATTTATATTATGTAATGAAAACCTATTTCTGTAACTAAAAAGTTGTATCATCAGCTTCCTTAAAAGAAACCACATAAAAAGAGAAAAAGTATTATTTTTAAAAAATTGTCATCTTCCATATTTCTAGAAAGCTAATAAATAATTTGTAGACCAAAATTTTTAATGGTTGGGTAAAATAAATTACTTTTGTCCTATATGCCTTATAAAAGTATTTCCAGAGTATTTTGTTAAAATTGTTCAACCCAGTGCAAAACTTCTTCATTCACTTATTCCATGTTCTTCATCTAATTTATTACTCTAAATATTAATTTAGCCTGCTTATGCCCATTTTTATTTCCCCCCCACCCTTTCACATAGTGGTCATTTAATTCAAATTAGTAACTGGCACTAAATTATGGCCACAGTGCATGGGTTTTTTTGGGTTTGTTTTTTTTTTTTTTTAGTGCAGGTTGTGGGTGGGTTTGGAGTGGGCTAATTTGTTTAGTTTTGTTAATTTTGATTTTCTCTGGGAAAACACAAATAAAACTCCTGGAGGAGTTCACTGCAGGACTCTAGGTGCTGATCTTTTTGCTGTCGCGCAACAGTGTTGCTTATATTTCAGTATCCCCTTCGATTTTTATTTTTGATTTAACTTGGTGTTACCCCACCTAGTATAAATTGTCAGCAATTTCATCCAGATAGGCTGTGCATACGATCGATGGAAGACAGGCTTCCCAAAATAGCTGGCCAACACTTTTTCAACTCTGTTTGGTGTATGTTGCCACATTAGGAGCAAAGGGTCATGGTTGTATTCATAAAATCCTACCACAGATCTCTGTGTTAGCAATAAGAGGAATGACTGAGAATTGTCTGCTGTCTGAAAACTGGATTAACTCCCTTTATTCAATCAGCATAGGTCACCTGGTTTGGTAGTGTGGGTAGCTTCTATGTGGAGAAAGTGACAGAGTGGTCTTAACCACAACGTTCAAGGCATACCATTTCTTTTGCTCTTTGCTGTTAACAGTGGTGTTTAGCAGAGTATGGTGTTTATTGCAGGCTATCGAGCAGCTGGTAATAAAAAGCCCTCCTCAGGCAGCATAGTCCGGGTGGTGCACTGCTGCTTAGAAAAAAATAATAGAAAATACCTGCCATCTGCCAGAATGCTACTGGCAAAACCCAATCAAAATATATTTGTATTTCTGTGTTGAACTCTTTTGCTTCAACAGAAAAATTGTTTTGGAATGAAAATACCCTTTGTTTATTTTCCTTAACTAGTGAACGTTTATTGAGCCAGAGTTGAAATTTAGGTAAGTTCAGATGTCTTGGGAGACAGCTGTTAAAATCTTTGCTCTTGTTGCTGGTTTCCGAAGCAGATTACTGGGGGGGAGAACCCTGTGATTCTTGGAGAATTACGTATCCGTTTGAGCTGATGCATGCTGACTAGTTTGGGTAGATGTAGCAATAAGATCTGTGGAGTTGGATAAGAGCAGTTTGTTTCTTCTTTTTTGCCATTTCATTTGCTTTCCAAACCATAGTTCTTTTCACCCCTTGCCTAAAATTACATTAACTTAATGAGACTGACGATCAAATCTGTCCTGGTATTCTTTCCCCAATTATACTCAGTGGTTGCATAAGGAAGAGTGTAAGAACAATGCAAGCGTTGAGGTTTAGAGGCTTAGAAGTTCTCAAAGCACTGTCCCAATGATTTTCGGCAAGGGGCATAGCTAAGTGGTATCCACATAATTGGATGAGATATACATGATGCTAAAACGAGGAAGAGGCTCATCTCTTCAGAGACTGAGGTGATGATGTTTATTGGGGAAAAAGCAATTGCCACAAGTTCAGCATGAGTGTGATTGATAAGCATACCCCCCCACCACCACCCCCGGCAGCATGATTAAGCTAGCACATCCTCTTGCTGAAGCAACACAGGGATTTGTTGCAAATTATATTGTAAAGACCTGGAAAAAAACGTGGAACGTCTGTGAAGTATGGACAAAATCTGCGTTTTTGTTTATTGTGTTTAAAATGCCCAAAGAGTGGAAGAGTAAGTCAATATGCTAGTTGAGAATTTGAGTTAGGTCTTGCAAATGGGAAACTGCACAGCTTACCAGGGTTTTTCCATCACCTTCTTTCTGTGCATTCTTCATTTTATGCATGAGGAGAAGAGACACCCAGTTTCCTTTACTTCTGCTGTTCTAGTAGAAAACTTTTGTTCTCCCTCACTCTCTGTCATGCTTTCTGCCTTTTTTTACCTCCTTGCACAGGAAGATAAAATCGGGAACCAACCCTCATTTCAGCAGTGAAACGAGATAGGGATTGCTAGTTCTCATTTCTGTCTCCTAGAAATAGATTCTTTTTTTTATCAGTGAACCTCAGTAAAGATCTCCTGAAGATACAACATGTTATCTTTCAGTCAGGCATGGTTCTCATGAAACAGAAGATAGGCATCACTACGTAACATTGCCAAAGATTGAGGAAATTGTTTAATGTCTTTTTATACCCTTGTTTATAATCCCTGAACTATTACTTTATCTCAGGTTTTGCCTGGCACTGCACCCGATACATTTATCCCTAGCATGCAGTTATGCAGGTGCATTCTGATAATCACCCTCACATAAGCTTTTTTTCTTAAAACATGAGTATGTTCTGTATGCTTAAGAACTTCAGTGGCTTGGGATTGAATCAAAATCAGAGCCTGTTTATGAAATCTGTGAGAGAAAGTTGTATATGTTACATGCCTCTGCAAAAATTGGGGTTTTTTTCCTTTTTTTTTTTTTTTTATGGGTAGGGTTTTGACTTGATCCATCTTCAGCCAAGATAAAGTACTCCCCTCCCCTCCCCGCCCCCCACACCCAGCACTGTAACCACTTGGCTCCTAACGTGGTATTTCTTGAAATATTAAAAATTCTGCTTCTGACCACAGTTTCCAACTAATGCTTCTTAAAACACCTCAGGCAAATGTTGTTCAATACACATGATTTTCTTTTAGGTTGCCTTTTTTAAAGCTTGGAAGTTTGCCTTCCGTTTGCAAAAGTGTTGCTCTGACTGTAAACAAACTATAAGCCCATGGAATAAAATATAAACTGTATAGAACAGATAGAATAAAACTTCTAAGGTATAGCCTAATTATAGAGAGTGAAATGAGGCTGCAAATACTCATCAGTTCATTTCTCAGCCTTGCCTACTTTGTCTAGCATTTCAGATGAGATCTGAATGTGATGTGGATCTTTTGAGTGGTATTACCTGTTCATGTAGTTAAGCTTATCCTTTTTGATACAGTCTAGGGTGCTGAAGTTTAGTTGACGAAGGTTTTAAATGGACATTTAGTGCAGATGTGTGTACAACTCTGTAGGTAACTAAAACTTCATACAAACCTTGGATATTTTATGGAATTGGTATCATAGTGTTCCACAGGGGACCATTTATGGGCGGGACACTATAAAAACAGAGGGACAATCCATTGTCACATCTTAGTTTTACAAACGTTGGCTGAAAAGCCAGTGGATTGTTAAGACAAATACATGGCGATTAAGTAAACAGCAAGACATTGCTGACCAGTATGATATGTAGTGAATTCAGCAAGCCAGCTGCCTGTTACAAAGGATTTCCTTGTACTCATTATACAAATGGCACTGAGATGATTTTATGACTGCTTAAAGGAATTCCATCTAAGCATAGAGGCAGATGAGGAGCAGCTTGAGAAGATGATGAAGGTGCTCTATTATGGAAACCAAGCCTTGCATCAGTGCTAGAGCAGAGATGCCTTTCAATAGCATGTAAAAGATTATATGGGAGTGTGGAATGTGGGAGGCCTTTAAAGTGGGAATGAATAATTTTTCCAATGTAATGAAAGAAAAAAAGGCATTTGAAAGAATACAATGTATCATTAGATGAGGCAATAAAATGATCTTTTCAGCAGAATTTGTTACATAGATAAGTGGTGATTGCATTTGTCAAGGTGAATGGAAAGGATGTTGTAGTGATGAAGATGAAATGACAATGTGAGAAAGATTTAAGTTGAGATACAAAAATACTTACTAGTGTTCTGCTGGGGAATTGCCCAAATGTAAATATGGGATAAACACAAGAATTTAGAAGAAAAGGAGTGAGCTGAACATAATGTACAGGTAATTGATGTGCGTGACAGGGAGAATGCTGCCATTTTTCACAATGATAGGGAAGTTATCTGTGTTCAGAGGAGGAAAGAGTTAACATTTTCAGATTAACTTTTTATAGTAGAAGGTTGAGGAGTTCATAATTTTGCTATTAACCTCATAGAAAATTATTTAAACCAAAAAGCACTTTAAAAGTACCTGAAAGTAGTTTTGACTTAGGGTCATTTTGTTCTGTAATTTTAGTATAGAACTTTAAAATTTTTACAAGTTTCATTCATTATATTATATGTAAGTTATATTGTTGTTTGATATTCCTGTTTTTAAAGAGGAACTAACACTACAACTATCCTGCTGTGCCAAACCGTTGAACGGTCTCAGGGAATTTGACTTCTGCCATTCATGGATTCTTTTTGTAGGCTGGATGCATCACACCGTGGATCAGCTTGGAGACAAGGCAACCAAGGAAAGCTATGCTATACAGTATCTCCAGAAATCTCTAGAAGCAGATCCCAATTCTGGTCAATCCTGGTATTTCCTTGGAAGGTGAGAAGTGACTTTGTAGGCACTGTTAACTGTATTTGTAAATTTTTTGAGGATACTCATTATTGTGAGTATCTTACATTGTTTTTCTTCTTAATATTTTCAGAGGAAAAATGAAGGGAAAGGATGTATGTATCTACTGAAGTCTAGTTTTCTGGAAAGTGTATAAAAGACAAGGTGCTAACATATTTGGGATGAATATAGATTAGAAGTTGAAATGAGGCATGTTACCCAAATGGTCCTGGGGTTTTTTTGTAGTTATTATTCAGCCTGCACATTCACAGTAATCCAAGTCTTCCCTGCCTGGTTTTACCTGTTCCTTCTCCTCCCACATATTCTATTTCTCTCTGTCTCCCCTCACACCCCCGTTTTTTTTAATGCTCTGTATGTGTTGTTACTTTTCCTCATAGCTTTTTCAAAAATTTTTATCTCTTTATTTTCTTGGAATCTCCCTTCTAATCTTAGTCAATTTTTGTGCTAAAATACATATATTTTTCCAGGTATACATCCATTTCTAAACAGCATATATTATAACTAAATGGTAGGCCAAGATAGCTCAGATTGATCCATTCTAATATCTGTTTAAGTGTTGTATTAATTCTGTCTTATCAGACAGTATTTTTTACTTGAAACTTAACTTAGTGCAAGATGTGAATCATACAGATTTGATGACTTTTTTTACTCGTCTTTTTAAGAAGATAGAGTACTTTACACAAACCAGTAGTAACTCTTGAAATAATCAGTCTTTGGAGAAAGCTTTGAGGGTAATTCAAGTCCTTATGTGAACAGGTTGGTTCTGTCAAGAAATACATTAGAAACTAATTATGCAAAAGTAAAATTAATATCCTAACCTCAGTATCTTCCCGTTGACTTTTCTTGGAGGTTCTGCTCACATACAACTGGAACCTACTTTTGTTTTTGTCATCCTTATTACATTCCTCCAGCTGTTCTGTAAGAGAGGGCTCATCAACCAGCTGTCTGCAGGCTAAGGGAGGAACATGGTGCCAAGTGTGAAGGGCAGAGGACTAGAGCAGGTGCGGAGGGAAAAGGGAAAATGGGCCAGGGATCATCTGGTTCATCTTAACATCCATTGGGCTGAAATCCTGTTTTTTCCTCAATACCCCCATTCCGCGTGCCTTGAGCTAGTTGAGTTGTGCTTACACAGCGGCAGGACGGAGCCAGGGCTCCATGCAGTCTGTGTGCGCAGCTGCCGTGCTCCTGCTCCTACTGTGCCATGGCTTTCATGTGGTTAGGGTGAAACCTAGGAACATGAAAACAAGGGGGAGAAACACAGGAAAATGGGGGGGGGAAATCTAGTGGAAGCATCTCTTACACTCTAGAGGGAGGACTACAGCAGAAGCGTTTCTGTGCCCTATTTCTTCAGTCTATACCCTTGCAGGAGAAGAGGAAAGGAACAGGGTTACAGGGTTCTGCATTTGCTCTTCCTCTTTATCCCTCCTTGTGTATTCCCTTGTGTTATTTCTTCCTCTGCATGTTGTCCAAACTGGCTAGCAAGCTGGTTTAAAGCTACCTTTCAAAAATATACCACCACCTTACTCCCCCACTGAATAAAATCCATCACCCTGTTTTAAGTTTTGTTGGGTGCTTAATGTTAGTACGGTCCTAATCAGAGTTTTCATGTATCTGATAAGCAGACAGATTGAAACGTGTCGTATCAGAACTTGGGTTAGATTGTGATTAAAATAATCTTCTGAAACATTCTAGTCAGACTTAATGGATGTTTTAGGCAAAGTACTGCTAGATTTTATTGTATTCCTTTCCTAGTGTGCTGAAGAGTACATGAAAGAGTTTAGCATATTTGACAAACCTTTGCCTGTACGGTTTTGCTTGGTTTTTTTTTTTTTTACTAGAATAAATTTTCTGTTGTTATTTATGTATTTTGAAAGTTGTCAGTTCTTTTTCCAACAGGGAAACTTATTACAAACAAAATAAGAAGCAGAGCTATTGTAGATTAAACTAGTAAATATATATATTTTTTAATATTGTATTTATTCGAAGCTTTCAGTTTTAAAAAGGTAGGTATTATTCCCTGTAGTATGATTGCAGTTCTCTTTAGACTTCTGATATTTCTGCTTATAATGCCAGAATACCTTTTAATTTGTAGATGAAAATATTCAAGTAAGAAATTACAGAAAAATCCAGAACAGCAAGATTTTTTATAAAATTCTGTGCTCTATATATGCAGTAAAACTAGCTGATTTGTTGTTCATTACTTGAAATCTTACTGAGATGTGAGAAATGCACATAAAAAGCTGCTCAGGCAGTCAGGAACCGTCCTGATTGAGTTTGTCAATCTCTCTTAATAATTCTGAAACACTTCTTGTAGAACATGAAGTTTCGTAACCATTTGTTTGATAAAATAGGTAACTTAGTTGTTTCTTTATAATGCTGTTTGTAAATCAGTAGAGTTCTTATTGACTGATAAGTTATTACAAGTGAAGGAAATGTAAGTCTTTAAAATGTGGTATGACTTCTGTTTTCCTTATAAATGCAGTAAACTAGGGTTTAAGCAGTTTTGCTGTACTTTTCAAATAAATAATTAGGAATACATGTTGATTAAGATGTTTGAGTCTGCTTATGCCTGGCATTCAGAAACAGCAAATGTTTTTGATTCATCTAGATGAGTATGTATTTGCATGACTTAACATTTATCAGATCAGTCTTGGTAAACCACCCTCAATGATTACCTTCTATAAATATTACCAAAGTTCTTTTTTTCTTCTCCCAGGTGCTATTCAAGTATTGGGAAAGTTCAGGATGCCTTTATATCTTATAGGCAATCTATTGATAAATCAGAAGCAAGTGCAGATACATGGTGTTCTATAGGGTAAGAATGATACAGGGTAATACAGTGACATGATTCAATGCTTATATGTAAAAATGAAGAATACTAGCTTTTTAACTCTTTTGCACTCAAGGAGACCATAAAGCTTCTTTATTTATACCTTCATGTTGTCTGATTTGAAGTTTAAATAATAAATTTGTGTTTGCTTTCTCAATTTTTTTAAAATACTGAGTATACTATGTATATGAGCTTTGCATGTTAAGATTGTATATATTGTTTATGGTTATTACTGTGCTTTATATAATGGCAAAGTTTTTTAAGGGTTTTGAGGGGGGCATGTATATTTGACTTGTTTGTATTTTGACTTCCTTATTAATTCTCAACTTCACTAATCTTTCTATTCAGTGTGCTGTATCAACAGCAAAATCAGCCTATGGATGCTTTACAGGCCTATATCTGTGCTGTACAATTGGACCATGGCCATGCTGCAGCCTGGATGGACCTAGGCACACTCTATGAGTCCTGCAACCAGCCTCAGGATGCCATTAAATGCTACTTAAATGCAACTAGGAGCAAAAATTGTAGTAATACCTCTGCACTTGCAGCACGGATAAAGTATTTACAGGTAAAACTAATATTTTAAGAAGCGGGAAATACTCTTCCAAATACACAGCAGAGGGGAGGGGAGAAGTAACACACAAGTTTAACTTGCAGTTGTTTGTGGTGTGTATAACCTGTTTTCATGCGTACTGTAAGCATATCATAGCCTGTAATATTTTATTTCTTCATTTTTAAGTGAAACCTAATTCGTTATAAACCCTATTTTGCACATTTAATCAAAGCATACTGTTTTACATCACTTTGCTTTTTTCTTTGTATTGTCTACATTTTTAAGTTCTCATAACATAGAGAGAGAATACACACACGCTATCTTTCACTCTTGTTTGCAATTTCAGAAAAAAGGAATTATGAGACCTCTGAATCCAGAGCTCATCTTTGTTCTGATTCTCACAAAGGTTTATATTCTGGTTACCCTCTTTATACTTAGCACCTTTCTAAAACCCCAAATTTTAAATCTATCCTCTCTTTAAGACATAATTAGCTACAGCATTTAGGAAGATTTCATGGACTTGCTCTTACTAAAGTAGGCTTGTGTTAAATTTGCTTTTTACATAATTTTTCCTAGGCTCAGTTGTGTAACCTTCCACAAGGTAGTCTACAGAATAAAACTAAATTACTTCCTAGTATTGAGGAGGCATGGAGCCTACCAATCCCCGCAGAGCTTACCTCCAGGCAGGGTGCCATGAACACAGCACAGCAGGTGAGAAGTTGGGTTATGTTCTGCAGGTGCCCAGCTTTAAGGGTTCTTTACAATCGGTAGTGGTCAAGCTTATTTTGTTGAGCACAGGATTGGCTTTTATTAATAAAAAGCCTTTGATTTATTTGCAAAGGGATACTAGATCAAGAAGCTCCCTATAATATGGGAGAAATATGGGGGTACCAATTTAGAACCTTTGTGGATTTTCATGATTTTAAAAGATTTCATCTTAAATAGAAATGCTGCAGTGGTTTAATAATCCCATGAAAGGTACACATTCCTCCATTGATGACCATATGGAAACTGATTTTTCAGTTATTGATATCATCTTCAGAATATCTACTCGGCCCTTTTAATATATGTGGGCTATTAAAATATATAATTTAAAGGAAAGAGTTAAGAATATATAGAACCATATTTTTGTCTTCCTTCTGTGATTCTTAGGCTTGTAAACCTCATCATCCAAATACTGAACCTGTACTAGGCCTCACTCAAACACCAATTTCACAGCAATCCTTGCCACTACACATGATTCCTTCTAGCCAAGTAGATGACCTGACCAGTCCTGCCAAGAGGAAAAGAACATCTAGTCCAACAAAGGTATATATTCTGATGAACTAAAGAGCCCCCTACCAAAATTATATGGAAATATGCATTAAAGTGATGCAGCATGCACAGAATTTGTGCTGTCAATTTTAATCCTTTGGCATCAAGGTGGGGAATGTTTTTAGGAATTTTAAAAAACATTTTTCAGTGATGTGTTTCAGGTTACAGTTCAGACAGGAAGCGCATAAGGGCAATGCAGATTGGTGGCACTATACTACAGTTATAGTTGTATAAGTGAAAAAGTGCAGTCATAGTCTGAATCCAGATAGAGAGGGAGATGATCATGTCATCCTGTCTATTGCCTTTGCTTATATTTAGAATTCAAGTGTTTCATCATCATGTAGTAGTGTTACAGTAGATAAAGTATTCAGTTTTAAAAGTAGTGTACATTTAAGTTAATTGCATAATTTGATTTAATTGTTTCTCATTATGATACTAGGTACCATTTAATTTTTTCCTCTGACTACTCTGATACTCTGTGGGAATGGTAGAATGAGACTTGGCATGTTTTAGTATGTTCTTTGTTTATAATGTTATTATTGAAACAATGACTAGTTCTTTCATAAGTAAGATAAAATCTAGATAGTGAAAGAAATTATGTTGAACCTTTGATAGTCACGCATTTTAATGTAATGTTTTCTCTCAGAATACTTCAGATGTTTGGAGCAGTGGCCATACAGTGTCACATCCTCCTGTACAGCAACAAATGCATTCTTGGTGCTTGACACCACAGAAATTACAGGTAGGTATGTTGAAGATCTTCACAAGCTTTGATAACATTTTTTTGTTTCTTTCTTTCTTCCTTTTAAGAAAATAAATCTGGAACATTTTTTGTTTCCGCATTTCTGAAATTAAATGTGAAATATTTCCCAAATAATTCCCACAGTGTAACTCAAGTTGTGCTAGTATTTATGGCTTCTGCATGTGAGATTAGTTCTCTAGTAAAATAAATGATCTCTAGGAGGAACTGAACACTTACATTGTATGAATTCTAGAATTTATAAGGTAAGAACATAAAGGAATTCTTCTTCTCTGATGATGATTTAAAGATAGATATGCAAATTGCCACTATTGCGTGCCAAGTGAGTTTTGCTACTTGCTGTAATGTGGGGGATATTGAAGGAGGTGTAGAAGTATTGTAATATCCTTTTTTTCCTCTGAAGTACCTTCTTGAATCAAATTACATAAACAAATGTGCACATCCTACAAAATACAGTTACTCAAACAAAATCTGGTACTGCTTTTCTATATTTTATGTCATCTAATATATTTATATGACATGCTAGATTTTATTTTTGAAATCTTTTTTCAGTTTTTTTTTTTGTTATGATGTTTGTTGTCTCTTCAGTTCATTAGTCAGGCCTAGCTGGAAACTGTTACCCATGTATCAGAGATACTGCTTTGGATGCAAGGAAAAATAGAAGGGAGCAAAGTACAGAGACAGAAGGCATTCTGATGGACTGGGCAGTGTTCCCCTCAACTCCAGTATAGGTCTTCACCTGTTTCACTATCTGAACAACACTGGCTTTATTATGCTGCATAATTTTTCCCTCCCTTCTCCCCTGCCCCCCTCCTTTGGTCCTCCCTAATCACTCTTCCGTATCCTCTTTCTTCATATATTCTCATTACTTCTCTCTGCTTATTTTATATCCTACTGCTTTTTCCCCTTTTCAGTTTCACCTTTTTCCAGATCCAACTTCCTCTTCTAAGCAGTATCTAAGTAGGCGTCTCTATCTTAAGTACGGTATACTGGATTTGCTCGCAATAGCTTGATAAGGTTCCAGCATGTATGAATAGGAAAGCCAAAAAGATACGATGCAAGAGGAGAGTGAATAAAATTTTTATGACAACTTCTAAGTCAGTCTTTTAAAAATGGCAGCTCAGAGGCTGGATGGATACGGCACATAACACAGACCAAATGGCTCAGTTAACAAAAGCAGAAGAGGAAAGGGCTGTTGGTCGCACAGTGGCCTCCAGGGCTGCAGAGTGCCAGTGGAGGAGGGACGGGTGTTGGTTTCACAGAGTTGGTGGGCAGCAACAACAATGCTGCCCGCAAAGCCTTTGGGCTGGAGAGGAGTGCAGACTTGCCTCTGCTGACATACGTGCTAGGTCAGTCTTTCTGATTCCTGTTACCCTATTTAGGCATTGAGAGTTTGGCATGAACCAGTTTGTCAGACAATGTTGGATTTTTTTTAGTTGACAGTTTGCAAGTGTAGTTGTTCAAAGCAGAATGAACTACACTTTAATCCTCATACTTCAGTCTATTTATGTGTAACTAATACAACATAAAGCAAAGGAGACGAGAAGGATTGAGAAAAATAATACATGCAGACCTGAAAGGAACTAAAGGAAACCTGATTTGCGTTTAATTTTGGTGGGGTTTGATTTAGTTTGTTGGTTTTTGTTTGGGTTTTGAGATTTTGGGGGTTTTGTTTTGTGCTTTGGTTTTTTTTAAAGGATTTACAGTGTTGTAAAGTAGCTTCATATTTAAGAACAATCAAGAAGAATGTCTTTGTCACCGGTTATGTAGCACAACTTTTGCCCTCCTCTCCACATACCCCCCCTTCCTTCTCAGATAGTGCATTTGTGTCCCACAATTTCAGCATTTATGTCATACCACTTAATAGCAGCAGACTTACTGGTAGAATGATGGTTCATGACAAATATTTTAAAATTAAAACAAAGATCATATTTTTGGTAATAGATACTTAAATTTATGAGTTGAAAATGAGTTCAGCATCATAACTTAAGATACTGCTCTCTGTAATTAAGTTTTAGAGTTTTCTAGGTTTTCTATAGGTTTGGTTTTTTATATTTTCTGGACAAGTTTTCATGTGTTGAATTTACTTCGTGCTGAACAGTGTTAATAAAAGAATGGCACAGTACAAAAAAGTGTTAAAGCATACATAATGATAATAAAATTTTATATAATCATACTTGAATGTAGTTTTCTTTTACGGTACCAGTACACTTAATTTTAGTGTGGTGATAATATTTATATGCTCAATTAATATAGAAAGTCTCTTTAGTTTTAGTAACTAGTAATAAGGTTCGGTTACAGAATAGTGTATGGAAAGATGTTTGAGTGTGCAACAGAAATCTCAATCATGTTTTCAGCTTTACAAGTCTTCGTTGATAATTTTTAGTATTGTATGCAAGGAAGTTATTAAGAAGCATGTGCAAGCTGAATTATTCTGAACTGTACTGCTGTTTTTTTAGCACTTGGAACAGCTGCGTGCAAACCGAAATAATCTAAATCCAGCACAGAAACTTATGCTGGAACAGCTGGAGAGTCAGTTTGTCTTGATGCAGCAACACCAGCAGGTGAGAACAAAAATGTTTTCCTCTTCTACAAAACTTTTGTCAGTAATGGTGTCTGCTGCGTTTCTTAAATGCAGAAGAATTTCTACTGTACAGAGTTCTCATGCCCTTTACATTGTTACATTAAGTCATCGGTTTTGTATGAAGTATAGTTGTGGTTTCCTGGTTGAAACGTAACAGGTTTAGCTGTGTTTTATTATAGGACTACCAGATAATGTAAAAGTTTTCAAGCCACACTTTCAAACTGAAGTCAGTGGACACATCTAAAAGCAGTCTTGCTTGAAAAATACTTAGTTGTAACAAGCCGTACTACAGCGTATCTCTCCTCCTCTCATTGTTCACTTCTCTCTCTCTTAGTGTCCAACTTTAGCAGTAGAATGCTAACACTCAAACTGAAGAGCCTAGAAGAAATGTGTGCCGATAGCTTTGCATTAAAATTTGCTCAGCGCATTTGTGAGCATGGCAGTCATCTTGTTTCTCAAAAGCAACTGTGAAGATCTTAAAATCAGTATAAAATTCAAATTGACCAGTGCAATAAAGTACACAAACCTTCTATGATCTTTACTTTTTAAATTCTGCAGCTAATGTTCTTGTGCTTTGTTCATCTTCCATTAGATGAGACAAACAGGAGTTGCACAGGTACGATCTACTGGAATTCCTAACGGGCCAACAGCTGATTCATCACTGCCTACAAACTCTGTCTCTGGTCAGCAGCCACAGGTTGCTCTAACCAGAGTGCCTAATGTCGCTCAGCGTGGAATCCGTCCCGCCTGCCCCGGGCAGCCTATGGCTAATGGACCCTTTCCAGCAGGCCCCATTCCCTGCAGCACAGCAAGAACGCTGGGTAGTACAGACACTATTTTGATAGGCAATAATCACATAACAGAAAGTGGAAGTAATGGAAACGTGCCTTACCTGCAGCAAAACGCACTCTCTCTACCTCATAACCGCACAAACCTGACCAGCAGCGCAGAGGAGCCGTGGAAAAACCAACTATCTAACTCCACTCAGGTATACAATTTCAGTTTACTCGTACAGTACGCTAAGGAGGCTTGATAAGCAAGTCACCCTTTGAAGTCTCTCATTTGTAAATACACGTTTTCTGTTTCCTGAAGTTGATGACCTAGATCTAAGTAAATCATACACTAGGTTAAATCTGCCCATTATGTTTTAATGTTAAAAATCTATGCATTAAATTAACTACTTTCAGGATAAAGGGAATTATCATAAATCAGTTGCATACTGCTCAGCTGCCTACCTTTGCAGAAAAGTTTCTTTAAAAAGGAATACTTGTACATCTTTTTCTTGCTTCTTTAATGTGAAATGTTGTGACTTTGTTCTTCATGTAGTAGGAATGTGCATGTTTCATGGGAAGCTGAATGTCATAGTTATTTCGGGTATTACATTGTCATCGTGATGTAATCATTACCCATATTTGTTTCCATATGATCTTTCAAAATTAATATCTAGCAATCAATTCCACAGACTTACTTGCAGAAAAATACTATAATGCCAGTAAAAATCTATAGGGATTAAAGTGTGTAAGTAAGGATGTCTTGTGTGTGTGTGTGTGTGTGTGTGTGTGTCAGAACTTGAAGATGGAGCTTATTTTTTTTTTATTTCAGCCTAAATGTCTTCCATGACATACCTTTTGGATGTAATGAAGTGTTCCTTAGGAAGCTATCCTAATGGTTTAATTCTCTTCTACCGGATGGGTTATACAGCTTGATACAATATTGTTTTCATGCTCAAAAATCCATAAATTTCTTGTTTAATGAATGTTGCATGTTACTTTAATGCTGAAGACTTGAGAGTAGGCTGTGCTACAGACATACATACATGCTTAGCCACACATACACTGCAACAAAGGCTGAAATAATACCAGAACATCTTGCGTAAAACATGGTTATTCAAAACTAAAACAGTGTTATAACATGATTTTTTTTAAAAGTTTCCTCTCTATCAGCAGTACTATTTACATGGTTTATAAGCATGGCAGGGGGATGTGGAGCCTGTTAGCCTCACCACCTCTTGCTTGAATTAGAATTCACTTTTCTGTTTTCTCTGTATTGTATAAAAGGAGTCCTGCACTCACTAGAGAGGTATCTGCTTCATATTAGGTGTCTGTGGTGCTGGTGTCCATAAAGTAGGCAAGTAATAAATTGCAGTAGTAGGTTA